CGGCTACTGATTGATCAGTATGGCTTTAATCAAGTCAAAGACTAATTTTATACTCATATACAAAGTGAACTACCCTAGAAAAGTTTGGAAACCTATTGTGACCGTGCTGTTTCTGTTCTGCAAACTGAATCTGTATTTTGAACTGGCAAGTTGATTTTGGGAAATACAAGAAAGTTAGGGGCAGCCAAATAAAGGTGTAGAAACAGTCAATGAAATCATTGTTGGCCTGAGCCGTGTTGGTAAATACATGACACCTAGTTGCGGTCCATACGACAAATAGTTGATAATAAATGAGACTGCACAGCATTGGTGGCAGTGGCTCAAATAAACTCATTCTTCATCTTTTGTAGGTCTCCCTGGTAAACAACATCTGTTACTGAATTCTCCCAGAAACTTGAGAGATCTTGGCAACCAACTTCTATTCATATTCAATGGCACGCACTCAATACAATCTGTTGTAAATTTCTACTCCAATGAATTTGATTGCCTTACATTCCTCCCACCATATTAGATTCCACTTTGTCTCAGTAATCGTTAGACGAATGCATCTTGAAAAACCGAAATAATTCCATACACCAGGATACGAATTATGACTGTTGTTCGAGGGTTGATTAGTTGAGTTAGTAAAGGTATGGAGATTTGAATTGATCAACTTCTGATCTATGTCTCAGCTTTTCCGTCCTATCAAATACAAGTTAGTAAAGTCTAATAGTTGGTGGAACAAGCAACTAAAAGGAGTAAATTGTGATTGAATCTCCATGCATTGCTAACAATCCAAGTAATGCATTTCTCAGAAAACTAGATTACATGAATAGAATTATCCAATTTTGTTCTTCTAGAGGGAATTCCTTAAAAATTTCAGTTCCACTAAGGGAGGTTTCACAGAATATATTTCTGAAGATTGATATGCGCAATTAGATCAGTTATGATTCATTACAACTTTGGACTGTGTTGAAAAAAATTATTCGGCGATGATTGAGTGACTTGGTGTCTGTTTGTCGACGACTGAGTTTCAAGTACATGAAACCGTTTAACGAATACATCTAGTTATTGTTAGTACTGACAAAATTTTCATTTTGTCAAACTTCATGGCTGAATCAAACTTAATAATATTATATCTTAGCTTTATTTTTCAATTTTCTGTGTTGAGAACCTTTTTTGTAACCATCGTGTTGACAATTTTCAGTAGAACAAATATGTTTGAAGGAAGAACGTTTCTGGTGCCTTGATTGTAAATCCTTAAATGTTCATAATTTAGTCCCATTCGATACAGTATAATATGCTTTTTCAAGAACCTCATCTGTAAGTACTTTTTCTGTCTACACGAGATAATGAGTAGCTTTTTAATTGATAACGTACCCCGACAGATACATTTTTGTTGTAGATAGCTTACAGATATAGTAAATTAATTAAATCAAGTCACTGACCAAGTACTTTAGCATGAGCCGAAATTGAAGTGTAAGGGCTATTAAGACGACCCACTGATGGCTTCTCGTGAACTCATCCCATCAGGCTCTGAACACGATAAAGAGCGAAAACAAATCAGCTCTGGGTAAACCAAAAGCCTAAGGTGGGCAACGAAAGCGAAAGAGATGGAAAAGGCGGCGGCTGTAAGTAACACAAGACAGCTCTACAGATATAAAAGAAACTAGGATTCATAAGTCAAGTGTGAGACTATCTTGGAAAGAGATGGCACTCTTATCTGCTCCCAGTCCAGACGTTTAGAACAATAGTCGGAACACCTTAAGAAGCAGTTCGACTGGAATTCAGCTACTTTACAACTACCCATCATTCCCAGATAGTGTGAATGGAACATTGAAGTAGGTTCTCCCCCCCCACCGACTTTAACTGAAGTTCAAGAGGCTGAAGCGAGAAAAAGCAGCTGGTCCAGATGGATTGGCTCTAGAGGTCTTTAAGCATGGTGTTCCAATTTTAGCGATTAGGTTGACTAATATTTTAGCTAAGATCTAGGAGTTAGACGTTATTCCATCTGACTGGTCACAATCACTTATCGTCCCAATATATAAGAGAGGGTTAAAATCATGTAACAACCATAGAAGGATTATTTTAACTAATATAGTATCTAAAATAATAGGCTCGATAATTATCGGTCGCCTAAATAAGACTCGTGAACTACAAACACGAAAGAATCAAGCTGGCTTCAGACCTGGTCGTGGCTGCATCGACCACACATCCACCATTCGTCAGGTTCTAGAACATAGGCATACTTATCGGCGTCCGACAATGGTGGTCTTTCTTGACTTAAAAGCAGCATTTGACTCTGTAAACCGCGAGATTCTGTGGCAGTGTCTATCATTGAAAGGCGTATCTCAGAAGTACATAAACCTTATGAAGGCTCATTACTCGAACACTACTAGTCGAGTCAGAGCTTATGGCGAACTGTCATCTGCTTTTGCAACTTCAAGTGGTGTCCGTCAAGGCTGTCCACTTTCTCCATTTTTGTTTAAATTCGTCATAGACCTACTGATGGAAATAACATTCTTGTCGATTGAATTCTCGGGTATTGACCTCCTTCTAGGTGGTCCACTTATCGACTTAGAATACGCAGATGATATAGTCCCGTTTAGTGAAGACACTGATAAAATGCAGTGTCTTTTAACAACACTGAGCAACAATGCCAGAATGTTTGCGATGCGCTTCCCCCTCCCAATCTAAATGCAAGTTGTTGCTTCAGGACTGATCTGTGTCAACATCTGAACTAAGGATAGGGTGTGAAGTAGTCGAACGCATCGACAACTTCACTTATCTTAGAAGTCTGATCAGCCCTAATGGGTTGATGTCAGACGGAATCTCTACCCGGATTCAAAAAGCTCGATTGGCTTTTGCCAACTTACGTTACCTATGGCGAACGCGAGATATGTCTCAACTAAGGGACCAGTATACATACAAATCATGCGGCGCATATATATTCGGTGCCTCTTTGTACCAATATTTATGTGTTCAAATAAACAATCAGTATACCGCACAGCAGTTCGTTCTGTTTTACTTTGCGGCTGCGAAACGTGACCATTAATGGTAGAGGATACTCGTAAGTTACTAGTATTTGATTACAGATGTCTTAGAAATATTGCTCGCATCTGCTGGGATCACCAGGTAAGTAATAGTGAGGTCAGACGCATGGTATTAGGGGATAATGGTAAATCAGTTGATGAGGTTGTGAACCTACATCGACTGAGATGGTTAGGCCACGTGTTGCGTAAATCTGAACACCGATGACCACGACGCGCAATGCTGACTAGTGTTGGAGACGGTTGGAAGAAATTTAAGAGCGTCCAAATCAAAACGTGACATCACTCCATGAAGTCACTAACTTCTGACCTGAGCCATGTTGTTAGATGCAGACTATTTGGTTGGGGTCCGCGCGACTATCGTAACCAATGGTTCGAGACTCTGTGTGACGGCTTAGAATCAATCACAATGGCGTAGGTGTATACACTCTTTGTTTTCCCTGAAACCGTGAGATTAGAATTATGTTGTTACTTTTCTTTCTACGAACTGATTCTTTCTCTCTGTATCATATTTTTATATGCAATCTTTGTTTTATATATTAGTACCATTTAAGTATCTGCTTCTGCGAATTTGGTGTTCATTGTGTTGTGCTAGTGAGGTATGGCAACTTGGACCGATGCATACACGTGCCTAGTTCTACGTTGTAGGTGACTGAATTGAGCCTAGAACTTAGTTGTTGCCAATCGAATACCACAACCTTTTAATCACCGCTTCTCAACATCTGCGTATACGCTTATCCACTATGTGGCTATATATTTAGTCCTATTTATCGATTTAAAAAGTCATGGAGTTTCCTAGTGTTGCCTCTGTTGTTAGTTTTATGAGTTATATCAAAGTCATGTTCTGCTAAGCCTCATTTTATTCTATTTGCTTATGTATCTGGATTACAAGTTTCTCACGTTAATCAATATTGTCCTGTAGTGTAGAAACGCTAATTAGCTTCTGACAATATTCACCACCACATAAGCGGAATATTTACAAATTTTTCATTGAAGTTTTATAGAAAGGAAATAATCCAACAAATTTTCAGCTTTTTAACCACGAAGCTAACTAAAATCAGTATAACTCATTGGCCAAGTTCAGTTTCATGCACTGAGTTTTGAGTTACATTTATTTTGTCTAGAGATTATAAGTACCGTCGGATTTTAATGCTAGAGCACGTTTTCAGCTAATGATGAGAGCCTGAGACAAGCGCGATCCCATCTACTCACGTTCGGGTTCCTGCGATAACCGTGACCTGTGGTGCCCCCAAATGTACTGGTTAGTTGAGCAATTTAGTTGACATGGTTTGGAATCTTTCATAACAGTGCAGATTCACCCACTCTATCTTCCCCTCGATCTTCAATTCCAGTATTTCTTCCTACATATCTTTTCATTCGGTCTTTATGTTACGAAAGTTTTCCGATTTGGTTAGAAGAAATTTTCGATTGTCAAAATCGATGAATAGAATTCTAATGAATAGATTAACCCAATATTTTAGTGACCGGGTGATGACTACTCATGGAACCGTATTATCAGGAATCAAAGACCATTAACCAGACGGATAGTTTTTTCATTTAATAAGATAACACGCTTATGTACAAAATATAAACGGGACCAAATGTCATAAGTGATCGGATAGAATTGACTTGTAGTTCAGTCGTTTTCATATCAACATGGGCCTGACTTTTAGGCTGAATCTTTAAAGTATTGTACTACTTTTCAAAACATAATCTCAATGCTCAATCTTAATGTTATCGCTACCATACTATTCCGATTTCTTTTGTTATTGCTATCTCGTCATGGTGATGTAGTATGGCGAATTGAGCCAGTACAACCCTACTAGACTCTATGTTGATGATGATTGGCAGTCCACAGTCCATTTGACTCATCAAAGTCAGTATTTTAAACCTGAGCCATTTTCTTCTATAAAATTGACACTGGTGTATTCTGTGCTGCTTGCACTGTGAGTTTGTTTTAAAAATTTTCAGAACTAAAGAAAATCCATCTAACATATGTTTTATTCTTCGTCGATTGGAGGCTGTATCTCCTTTCTCTCCGAAAATCCCCAAAGCATATCCTCCTATTCCCAATCATCAACCGACAAGTCGTCCTCATCAACAGTCCTCTCGTAGTTCATCACGACGTTCTAATGTTCCAGTGACATCTGAAAATAAAGAATTATATTCCTCTACTTCATCATCCTTACCGATTCCAGCTCAGCAATATGCTAGCTCTGCAAAGCAATCAAGAATTTATCGTTGTGATCCTAGTCATGAACTAATTCATTCTACCTTAGTAACCAGTGCTGCTGGTGAAGAAAAATCATATCACGGTACGCTATTCATGTTGAGATGGAACTTTACAGAACTTAAATTTGTTTTACATTACTTTTTCGACAATCATATTTTATTTGAGATCATAAATCGATTGATTTTAGATCACCATGGAAAACCTGGAAGCATTGGACGACCGTCTCGTCATAGTATGAGACTCCTTAGCAGTGCGCATTCACAATCCCACACGCAGGACTCAAACCCAGGACCTTCGGTCTCGTACACGAATGCTCAACCTCAAGACAATTGAGCCGGTATCCAACGGCGTTAATGTCTAACTTCAACCAGTCCACGAAATGGCACGACCATCTTTCATTGTATTGAGGTAGATACTTGTCTCTACCTGACATAAATTAGCTCCACTGGTCACGGCTTCTCACTAGGACTGCGAGGACTCTCTCACGAAGCTAGTCACTAGTGAGCACATGGTAATTACCAGTATGAGGAGTCCCATACTAGGACGAAACGGCCGTCCAGAGCTTTCAGGTTTTAAATGATGATCTAACATCCATTGATTCATGATCTCAATCAAAAACTTGATAATCTCCAGAACACCATAGCGATAATCATATTTTAGTCTACTTCAAATTCTTCGCATTTTACTACCTACAAATCCAATCAATTCACGGTAAATCTGTCCATTAAAGTGCATCTTTTTAATATCGATTTTCAAATACAAATTCAGCCTAAGAAAAACTTAAAAACGGTCGGACACTGAAATGAATACTGTTGAGTAATATGAATGTTGGATTAGTAGTTAAGGTAACTATGTCCCAGGTTCTAGCCCCGCCTCAACTACTTCGGATTATAGCAACCAGTTAGTATCAATGGCCCTCACACTTAGAGTGTGGTTCATGTTCAAATACCTGGTAAATAAATCTATCTATTAGTATGAGTGGATAAATATCTGCTTGTTTTCCAATATATTTCTATAATTTATGTATTACCACTCATACTAATCTAAGTTGTAGTCGATCGAAATGGTCAGTAACTACTCTTTGCATTTCCATTCGCGTACAATGTTAAAGTTCGATATTTTCTGTTTTCGCAGGACTGGATTATTTCTTTTTTATATTATGGCATGGTTTACAAGATTCACAAAATATCCTTACATTATGTCCTCCCTTTCTACAAATTTTATAAACTGAAGATATTGTCCTAGACGTGTATTCTCGATGACCATATATAGCTGATGGTCACACCTTTTGTTTTAAACGTTACACTACTCATGAGTAGTGTAAAATTATTAGTAAAATTGATTCGCAGTGCTATAGATATTCCAACGTAGGATGTAGTAACTTTCTAGCATGCAACAAAAGTCGTAAGCCATTGGCATGGCATATGAAAGTAAGAAAAGAGGTTTTTCAATTCTGGTCAAGCTCGCAATAATTTATTTTCATGGAATTTTGGGGAATATTCGGTATGTATGTTGCGAAGATCGACAGATGTACATAAAAATAAATAACTGTTGGTTGACATTATTTTATTTATTTATTTTAACACATAGATGTTAGTATAAGGAGACACCGAATACATATGCGCCACACAAATCTCATTCGATATGTGTGAGGGCTGTGATACTGCCCGGGTGCCCAGACCGAACCAGGTGGTTTTCTTAGGGGGCCACTCCTCGAACCTTCGACCTGAAGGTCTGATCCACAAGGCAGTGGAGCATTGTAAGGAGGTGCAGTCCCACGGAAGCCGGTGACCAACAATTGGTTCATACGCCATTTGTTCCCGCAGGATACCGGAGCCAATGTGTACCATTGATTTGGAATCAGGGTTTTCCAATTCCCCTAAGTGAACTCTCTATGTCCACCAACCCGGTCAAAGCGCCGGACATTCGTTTTTCGTCCTCTCAATTTCGTAAACAACACCCGTGGTGCGAGAAGGCAGTAAGTAGGACTTCTCTGGCAGAGGCTATATACTCGTGGCCATGTGAGAGCATTTCGAGAGGGAGAGCTGACTCTCCCCACTCTCGGCTGTACCAGGGCATTTGGGGGCTGTTGGTTGACAATTCATCACAAAGATTATGAACCGTTTCCATAATGACACGTTAATTTTTTTAGTAAGATGTAATTTAATTTTAATATAGATAGAGCAATAAGAGGCCTTGGTGTTATAATCTCTTTCTTACGGTTATGACCCAGCTATTCCTATTGCTTAGTATTCTTGGACACCGATTCACTCGGCAAGTCCCCAAATCAGAACACGGTTGAACAGGAAAGAGATTATATCCCAAATAACAATGTTAGATGGAAGCAAGAGGCACAATAGGGAAAACGTTAGTATATTTATAGTTTTTACATGAGAAGATCCCAGTATCGACAAGTGCTGATTGGTAAGAATTAGCCAATCAGTGTGCACCAAAGCAATCGTGCATTGAGCATGCTTGAATCCAGTCTATGTCCCGATAACACTTGGCCATTCGGAAATTCAAACTCCCCTTTTTATGTGTATAGAAATGACGTGTCGTAATTTTGAATTTGCCTTATTAATATTTAAGCCCTTTAGTGTGCTAGAATGGTGTTGCGATTCCCTATTCATTCTTTATTATGTTAGTTTTCTCTTTCTTTTACTTACGATCATCACATTATTTTTATTTGACCTTCATCAACTTTTATAAATGCAGATTATTCGAAACGTATGAGAGAATATACATTACGTTTTAGATCACCTCTATCCTCTCATTGCTCTGTCAAAATTCATAGAAGAGGCTAATTACTTTGGGTTTTGATATGTGGTTTTGTGAACATATAAACTACTTTTTACGTATGCTTTCACGTTTGTTTTGGAAGATCGACTAAGAGAACGTTGTAGAGTGAGTAAAATAGTTGGATATTAGTCTCAATGATCAAGGCGTCCGATTTTTAGCAACTAAGTCCTGGTTTTGAACCATGCCACACATATTCCTGCTTAAATAAGCGGGTAGTATAAATAGCCCTCGCACTCAGTGTGGCCCACTCCCAAGTAGCTGGTGAGTGATTTAATAAAATCTACATTAATTTATAAATAGTAATGTAAAAGAATTTTTACATTTAACTGACAAGTGCAAAAAATAGGAAGAGATGTGCGTCCTGAATTTCACTCCTAATCACAATCCCAACTGACTAAACTTTCTTAAATGCTTAAAACAACACTTCAGAGACAAACCAGTCACCACAAGAAGTTCAATGTGTATTAACCGTATATTGATAAAATCCATACCGTTTATCATACACTTCACTCTTGTTTCCGACTTTCAAATTTATGAGAACAAACTAGGTATGGAGTGTGGTTTGTCATTTTTTTCTTGCGTTAAACATTTATAGTTTGTAAAGATCGATACTTCAAGAAAATTTATCAAATGAGTTTTTGTTTGCTCGTTGGAAAATAAAATTCCACTATCCGCCCCTCAATCTATTTACATTCTAGGAATTATAACGTATGGCGATAAATTAAATATGCCTTAAATTACATCATTAGTAAAAAAACAGTTTATGTAGACATCATCTGACTGATTAAAATGAATCAAACATTGAAAGCTGTGTAATGCCTGAGGTTTTAAAAAATGGACAATCGAAAAGTGTAAGTACATCTCTCTCTATTTACACCAACCTCCTACAGATGGAAACCATTATTGACTCTTAAATAATAAATCTATGATTCAGCACCGAGTACATAAACCTGTACTTGATGAGGGAATTAATATTTGCATACTTTTTCACTAGTATACAAATCTTCCTGGAGGTTGTTCAATTTTATGATTTACATTACGGACTGAATGTAGACAACTATTGTTGACCAGAAAGCTCTGAACAATTGTTTCATCTTTGTAAGGAACTCCTTAGAAGCTCGTATCCACGAATTCACCAGAAATCACAACTAGGATCTTCAGATCCAGCTGTAAGCGTTCAGATTTTAGACCATTGATTAGGCATCTTATGGTTTATACCTCTAGTTTCAATCAACTCACGATATTGCACAACAATCCCTTAGTTACCTGAAACTCAATATGGTTAAACTCTACTAGCTACGGTTTCACACTAGAACCCTAAGAATCCCCTCTCGAAATAGTTTACTAACTAGTACATACATTTCCTAACTAACTAAATATATAGCTATTTACGATTTGTGACTAACGATTGGACGTGATGTTTGCTGACCGATCAAGATTGATGACCATGTTTTTTTTTCTTTTAGATGTTGATCAATATAATCAACTTAAAGATCAATTGGCATATCAAGAACAACAAGTTGAACTCAATCGGATACGGTTGCTTCGATTAGACAAGGGTAAACATTTTGATTAAATGTATTGTTTTTTTCAAATGGTATTTTTCAACAATAACTTGAGGAGATCAACCTGGATGATGTATTCAGTGTGCATGTTTAAAACCTTAGAGATAGACAAAGTGGTGTAATTCTAATTAATACAGGGATAAGTTAATTATGATCAAGAAAACAATTTTCATCCTTTCTTTTTTGCATGAAACTCAAAAATGAATCAGTTTTGATTGAGATCATAAGTCGATCAATGTTAGAGTACCATTGAAGAACTAGAAGCACTAAACGGTCGTTTCGTCATAATACGGGGACTCCTCAGCAGTGCATATCCGCGATCCCGCGCGCGAACACTTAGTCTCTAGACTACTAAGCCGGCATCCAGCAGTGTTAATGTCTAACTTCAACCAATCCACGAAATCGCACGACCATCTTCTATTGTCTTCAGTGAGTAACTGCCTCACACCCGATACGGATTAGCTCCGCTGGTCACGGATGAAGTTAGACGTTAACACCGTTAGGTGCCAGATGAATAGTCTAGAGATTAAGCGTTCGCGTGAGTGATTGTGGATTTGCACTGCCGAGGAGTTCCATACTAGGACGAAACGGTCGTCCAGTGCTTCCAGGTTTTCAATGGTGGTCCAACATTGATTGATTAATGATCTTAATCAAAACTCAACAGTCTCCACAATCCTACACTGAATCAGTTTTATTTTGTGACACTCGATATTTTTGAAATACTAATGTAGTGATTGGTTGCCTAAGCTGAATGATTCTATGACGTACACAATTGTTGCGCACTAATACTAGATAATCCACCCAAAACGATCAATCATCCCATATATTAAAGCAATCAAGAATATGTTATTACCAGCCTGAATAACATAAAGCGTTCTATCATTAAAAATTAATATATTTACAAAAATATCTATCGCAAAATACGCATAATTATCTCTCCACACTAATTATCCAACCAAGATTATTGAATATACGTATCAACATCACATAAGAAGAAAAGCTGTAGGAGTCACGTGTGTTTGTATAGTGCTCAGAACATCTTAAGTTGTTAAGGTTTGGTGTGAGGGAATTCTTCTATATCACCGTAGAGTAAAAATGACAATGATAATAGGTAAACATGTGCACAGCAGTAGATACCACCCCGGTGGTGGTCTAGAAGATAAGACGCACTGATGATTCGTTACATACTAGGACGAAACGGACGACCAGTACTTTCAGGTTTTCAATAATTGTATAGCTAAGACCACTTCGTGTTTTAAGCGATGAAGATGTTCAACGTGTCAAATCTTTACTGTTTTCCATGTAAATTAGACATATTATGAAAACCAATTTGATTTGTCTACATCAAATTAACCATAAATCATTTTGTTTAATGGTTCACTGAATAATATGCATTTGAGCTGAATAAGCAACAGTTGTAAAATTGCCAATGACTTTCACATTAAACTCCCCCAGAACATATAGTCTTATAAGTCTTCCATCTGCTTAACTGTTTTGTGAATTAATTAAAATTTTTGTAGCCGATGATGAATTCATTTGTCTTGGTTGCTTGAATCTTCCCATTGATGTTTAGGAATGAAACCCGACCGTTGTTGCTACCTTGACGTGGTGGTCGGGCTTGCCTATCGTGATGAAGCAACCGAGCTATACTGGCTGGAACAACCGTTCCTCAAGGTCCTACCATGTCAGACAGGTCGGTTGAAGAGCGGTAAGACTAAAAGCAACAAACCCAAGGTCCGAAGGCGAAGTCGTACTGCTGACTGTACAGAGGTGTGACAGCAGTAAGGTGTTTCCTTCAGACAACCAGCATGACAGCGATGCTGCCTTCCCACAAGGAGGGGTGGGGTTAGAAAAGGTCGACCCTAAAAATGCACACCTCACCTTACCTCACGGATTTCCGTCTCCGGCGGTAAGGCCCTTTGAAGAACGGAGCTAACACGTCGAAAACCTTCCACGAAAAGGCCGTGCACGACCGGCCTCAAGCAGTTGTCCCTTGGGCACTGCGGTCACGCTCTCAGGTCACTGAGACCGCCTCTAATCCAATTTCCTTTTCAGGTACCTCCAGAAGAACCCTTCCACGGTGTGGGCAACCGGGAAGTGATAACCGCCCTCATACATCTAACAGCACCCAAGACCACTGTATTCATAATCAACCTTCCTCTTCAATTCCTATTATTCCTCCTACATCGACTTTCAACCCTAAACTTCCTCCTTCGGCTTCCTCCTCAAGTGTCACCATAGCCAACGATTCTAGTGCTCAAAACTCTGTCCCAGGTCTACTGAAACCTCGCTCCAAACTACACATTGGAGCTTTCAACGTACGCACTCTATGTAAAATCGGTCAGCAGGCTTCCTTGGCTAAAACCCTAGAGTCTCTTTCCATTGATGTATGCTGTGTCTCTGAAACACGCATACAGGATCCCAGTGTGGTCATTCACTTGACCTCACCTCGGCAAAACGAAGAGCCAACGAGATACACCCTTCGTGTATCTGGTGACCCGATGGCCAGTTCTCGTGGACTGGCAGGTGTAGGCATAGCACTAAGCATGAGGGCGGAACAAGCACTGCTAGAGTGGATCCCCGTCAACAGTCGTCTATGTGCTGTTCGGCTGAACGGCTCCGTAAGAACTCGGAAGGATAGGGACACACGTCGTTGCCTTTTCGTCGTTTCTGCCTACGCTCCCACTGACTGCAGCCCAGATGAAGTGAAAGATGGATTTTACAGAAAGCTGTCCGAACTTCTTCAGAAAGCTAAACGCTCAGACATAGTACTCGTAGGGGGTGACTTTAATGCTCAGATAGGTAGCTTAAACCAAACAGAAAGGCATTTAGGTGGATATTTTAGTATTCCGACACAGCGAACAGATAATGGTGATCGTCTGCTGCAGCTATGCTCAGACAATCGCTTATTTTTAGCAAACACAAATTTTAAGCATAAGGAGAGACATCGTCTAACATGGCGACCGCCTGCACCAAGCCAACGATGGACTCAAATAGACCATATTGCCATCAGTCATCGTTGGAAAGGGTTGGTAGAAGATTGTCGCTCATTCTGGAGTACCTGCTTGGACTCCGATCACGCTCTAATACGGACACGCATCTGCTTGCGCCTCACTGGACGCAAAAAAGCCATATTAAAAAGACCCGTTAGAACTGAGTTGAGTAACGAGAAAACCAAAAGTAGGTTCCAGGAACAACTGAGGTCACGATTAGGTAGTTGTGAAGACGAGACTGACCCAGATGTTGCTTGGAAGGGCATACAATCAGCTGTGGAAACAGCAGTGACATCTATTAGTGACTTAAACCACAGAGTTGCAAGGAACCAGTGGATTTCTTCAAGGTCTGTCACACTGATGGATTCTCGCAAACTCGTCCCATCAGGTTCTGAACATGATGAAGAGCGAAAACAAATCAGATCTAGGTTAAGAAAAAGTCTAAGGAACGACCGTGAGCAGTGGTGGGTAACGAAAGCAAAAGAGATGGAAAAGGCGGCGACTATAGGGAACACAAGACAGCTTTACAGACTAATAAAAGAAACTGGAATTAATAAGTCAAGTGTAAGTGAGATTATTTCGGAAAAAGATGATACACTCATCTGCTCCCAGTCCAGGCGTTTAGAACGATGGGCGGAACATTTCAGAGAAAAGTTCAGCTGGCCTTCAGCTACTCTACAACTACCCTCCATTCCCAGACAGTGTGAATGGAACATTGAAGTAGGTCCCCCAACTCTTGCTGAAGTTCAAAAGACTATAGTCAATCTGAAACGAGGAAGGGCAGCTGGTCCAGATGGATTGGCTCCAGAGGTCTTTAAGGATGGTGGTCCAATTTTAGCGATTAGGTTGACTAATATTTTAACTAAAATCTGGGAGTTAGACCTTATCCCATCTGACTGGTCGCAATCACTTATCGTCCCAATATATAAGAAAGGGTCAAAATCATCCTGTGACAACCACAGAGGGATTAGTTTAACAAACATAGTATCTAAAATACTGGCCTCGATAATTATCAGACGCCTAACTAAGACTCGTGGACTGCAAACACGAGAGAACCAAGCTGGCTTTAGACCTGGTCGTGGCTGCATCGACCACACATTCACCATTCGTCAGGTTCTAGAACACAGGCATACCTATCGGCGTCCGACAATGGTGGTCTTTCTTGACTTAAAAGCAGCGTTTGACTCTGTAGACCGCGAGACTCTGTGGCAGTGTCTATCATTGAAAGGCGTATCTCAGAAGTACATAAACCTTGTGAAGGCTCATTACTCGAACACTACTAGTCGAGTCAGGGCTTATGGCGAACTGTCATCTACTTTTGCAACTTCAAGTGGTGTCCGTCAAGGCTGTCCACTTTCTCCATTTTTGTTTAACTTCATCATAGACCTATTGATGGAAATAACTTTCTCGTCGACTGAGTTCTCGGGTATTGATCTCCTTCCAGGAGGTCCACTTATCGACTTAGAATACGCAGATGATATAGTCCTGTTTGGTGAAGACGCTGACAAAATGCAGAGTCTTCTGGTAGCACTAAGCAACAATGCCAGAATGTTTGGGATGCGCTTCTCTCCCTCTAAATGCAAGTTGTTGCTTCAGGACTGGTCTGCGTTAACACCTGAACTAAGGATAGCGAGTGAAGTAGTCGAACGCGTTGACAACTTCACTTATCTTGGAAGTCTGATCAGCCCTAATGGGTTGGTATCGGACGAAATCTCAGCACGGATTCGAAAAGCTCGATTGGCTTTTGCCAACTTGCGTCACCTATGGCGAAGGCGAGATATCCGTCTATCAATAAAAGGACGAGTATACTGCGCGGCAGTCCGTTCTGTTTTAATTTACGGCTGTGAAACATGGCCATTAAGAGTAGAAGACACTCGTAAGCTATTAGTATTTGACCACAGATGCCTTAGAAGTATTGCCGGCGTCTGCTGGGATCACCGGGTAAGTAATAGTGAGGTTAGACGCAGGGTATTAGGGAATGATGGTAAATCAGTTGGTGAGGTTATGAATCTTCATCGACTGAGATGGTTGTGCCACGTGTTACGTATGCCTGAACACCGATTACCACGACGTGCAATGCTAACCGGTGTAGGGGTTGGTTGGAAGAAAGTTAGGGGCGGCCAAACCAAAACGTGGCATCAGTGCTTGAAGTCACTAACTTCTAGTCTTAGCCATGTTGGTAGATGCAGACTACTTGGTTGGGGTCCGCGTGACTATCGTAACCAATGGTTGGAGACTCTTGGTGACATGGCTCAGAATCGATCACAATGGCGTCGGTGTATACACTCTTTGTCTTCCCTTAAACTAAGAGATTAAAATCACTTCATATCTTTCTTTCTACGAACTAATTCTTCCTTCCTATACTATATTCTTATTGCAACCTTTGACCTAACCACTCCTATGAATCCTGTGTTCATCTTGTTGTGCTAATGAGGTATGGCAACCTGGACCGATGCACATATGTGCCTGGTCCTACGTTGTAGCTGACTGAGCTGACTGACTTAGGAATGAAACTGATCAATCTCCTTTTGGGATATGTGCATCCTGTGCGGATTGCTTCGGTATTGCCTAGAATCACAAGCATTTTAGGCAGAGAAGGAATCAATGGCGTGCGTTTCGTCCTAGTTGAGACTCATCAGCTGGGTGTACCTGCGTCCTGGAGTTGATGTTCACCATCAGACTCGAACCCCCGTTATCTGACGAACTTCCTATAAAACATTTACATTTATGAGAAGGATTCATAAACAAGCCTTTAAGGTGAATATATTCATACTTGGATAGACAAGATTTATGGTAGCTATACTTCTATAATATTAAGATCGGGAAAATTTATAATATGGTTTGAGAAACTTGTTTTTGAAAAAGCTACTACAATAAGTTTTACGATTACTGTTGCAAACTACTTTTGATGTATACCAACTCTTTGCACACTAATTGTAAAGCAACCTCGAAATCGTAAGACCATTTTAACATCTCTGTTTTTTCATCCGTTCGTTATAGTCCTTCAGGATCTTTGATGAATGTCGAAAAGTACGAAACCTTAGTATCTTAACACCAGTTACTATTTTGATAATTAAATGACTGAACGGTTATCTTTGAAACTCTAAGCATTAAATACATTGCTTTACGATATCTTCTACAGTCCATTGGCTCAGGAAACGCGTAACTATTCACACTATTCAACAGAAGTATATCTCATAAATACATAACCTGAATCCTAGTTTACGTCTATCTAGTGTTCGTTTTCTTCCATCCCACAACTTCCTCAACATTTTTGTAGTTTTGCATCATAAATTGAGCCTATTTAGATAGCCACTAAGGACTAGGGAGTATTGGACAATTGTATCATCCTTATGAGGGACCCCACCACAGGTCGAAACCCGAACTTCCAGGTCTTGCGGCAAGCATTGAAATTACTGATCCGGCATCCAATAGTTTACATTCCTAACTTCAATTAATTCATGATACTGCGCAACCTAATTTTAATGTTAGAGTTAAGTAAATTGTCTCACGCCTAACTTGGTTGAACTATACTAATCACTACTTCTCACCAGAACTCCAGGAGTTATGATGTTCACCATCCCCTACTTCCGTATATTTATCTATCACATGCATATCTTTATACTCATGAACAATGCATTCAGAATAACATGTGCATAGGATATATTTTTTCTAATGGTGTTTTATACATATATATGTATATAATACACACCATTTATCCATGTCTATCTTGTAATATATAAGTCAGCCTAACAGTGTAGTCTGTCATGGTTAGTCAGCGAGCTAATTAACTTCACCAGTGCTATACTAATTCTTCGTTAGCCAATCTGTGAAACTCGGTGTATAATCTGTCTCTCCTCTATACATGTAGACACATACAGTTGAACTACAAATCAAGGTGAAACCGCCTACGTAATTTCATTGTTTTTAATTCTTATTTTATAGACTATAAGGGAGTAGCCGTGTATACAACTAACAGCTAGTTAGTCATCACATTAAACATACACTTATAAATCTAGTCATTGTTGGGGCAATAACCTTCAAAGCCTAATCTCAAGGTTATCATTATACTCTTTCTATTAAAGCTTAATTATAAGTCAGCACAGATAAAATCCATTCTAATTGTTGACAGGTTGTTACTTGTTTCTTTGATTTTTTTTTCTAAAAACACAAAGAAATGAATATTGGGTTTCTTTTTGTTTTTTGCTGCTTTTGCCTAAACAAGTTAGCGATGGAGAAAAGTCACTAATGAAAAATACTTGTACACTTGCTAAAGTCAAAAAATAGATGACTATTATTGTCATCAATACAATATCATTAAAACACAATGTGAACATCATATATACTACGAGAGACAGAGATTTCAACTGTCACAGTTTAGTGTATTAATGATATAGTTCGAAAATTTTAGGATATGACTCTCAAACAAGTGGTTTTAAGGATTAGACGAAATTGTGCCGATTTTCATGCAATTACAAACTGTTGAAATAGGTTTTGTTCAAGACGTTCCATGTGTTAACCAAGACTGATCAAATTTCAGCCAAAAATATCAACAACAGGATAATCCAAACCATTTGAAATTGGATTATATTTTCCTGTTGAGTCTAGATAAAAGTATGAGACGGGAAATGCCCATCTAATTCCTAATCACTGATTCATTCTCTGACCAACCTCTGAGGGGTACTTCCCAAAGTTCTCATGCGAAGCCGTGATCGTTAGAGTCCAACCATGCCGATCGTAAGACAAATATTTCTAACTATGGCACTTGATTACAGTCACAAATTAATTGAAGTTAGAAGTGCAGGTCATTAGATGGCAACTCAACGATCTAAAAGTTAAGCCCTCGCCACGAGGCCCGAAATCTCTGGATTTGAAACCCTAGTTGGGTCACGGACCCACACTAGTGAGGAGTCTTATACTGGAACAAGTTAGCTGTCCCTCGACTATTGCTTTTTAACTGTCGTTTAACATCAGCCGCTCTACGATGTAAAACTACAAAACTCGAAAACTTCCAGAAACCCCACTGTCATACCATACATAATCGATTATTATCTTATCGTATGCATTCTATACACTCAATTATAGTTTCCAAGGTAAATTAACCGTTTACTGCAAATAATTAATTAAATACGGTTCAGTTCACGCGCCATTGAACCACATACTGTATACGTGTGTTCAAAGGCTAGTTTTAGGATTCACTTTGCTAAACCAATATAGGTAGACAGGGTGAACGTGTAACCAATTTTTTTAAAGAGCAAGCGGTTCATTTCCCGAAGTGCTATTCAACCTATTGCTATGATCAAACAATTAATTGGCAAGACTCTCGGTCATAGACCACATCGCGGATTTAAATCAGTTGGAATGTCATGGAAAAGCCCGGTTTGTTCAATTCATTTGCTAAGCATAGATTAGTATGCTTAGCTTAGAGCCACACTCTACTTATAAGGGCTAGTGATGTCACCTGGTTACCCAAACCGAATTAGGTGTAGCGGAGTCTGGACCTGCGACTTATTGACTGAGGGTCGAGGGTCTTAACCGCTGTGATACTAGAAATACTGAGTAGCTAACTTGATCGTAATGTGCGAATATTCGGCAGCAGTGCGCGCTACTATTCGCTCGGGATTGAACCCATGTCACCTTAAGGTCTTATAATGAGTGAGTGCATCACCCTTAGACCATTGCAGTCTATAAGTTTTTATGTTCATATTGTCCCAAACTCGAACGAAACATATGTGTCTAGTGTTTCTTCGTTGTCACTGATATTATCAACCCATTACTAAGGCCAAAAATTAATATAATCTGACTACAAGTTATAACTTATCAGTAGTTAATGGGTGAATAGTGAGAATAAAGGTCAATAAAAAGAATAAATGTTTACACAATCTAACATTTTCATAATTACTATACACTAACTGATCAATTATTTCTAATAAAATATTTTCTTTTCTCGCCAGAAATCAATCATTTAGAGCAGTCAGCCCGATTTGGTGGTAATAACAACAATAGTAATAGTAATAAAGATGGTTATTCTACGTTGGATTTATTAAGTGGATCGGCTGTTGGTCCTGTGGCAGAATTGGCCCAACTAGCAGCTACACCATGGTCACAATTATTAGATACAAATCGTGCCAGACAACGTGAATTATTATCAGAATGTGAACGACATAAAATTGCTATCGACCAAGTGGATACTCATTTAGCTAAAACAAAGTATGTGATTATTTAATACTATTATTATTATCCCGTAAGTTTTTTACCGCTAATCATCATTGAACTCATTTTATCGGTGCCAAAGATAATCAACATATTCACAAAAACGAGCTAGGAAAATGAGCCTAAAACCAACTACCTAGCTTTGGGGGTCGGGATGGTGGTTAGCAGTGATGTTATTTGATCCTACTCTTTACAGTACCGATGATCTAATAAATGTCATGTCTTGTTGTAAACTAAGTGAAATTTTCTTCGGACATAAGTTTACATCTTATTTTTAGTTCTTCAATTTGAAAATGGTATTCGCTTTGTGTTAGAGGATAAAACTGATATATTGAAAGGCACAAACAATCTAGGGATGATCTGGTATAATTAGTTATAATCAACAAACAACCAACGGAGCCAATGTCCATTAACTCAAACTGCCCACTGCATTAACTAAATGAAAACGGCCTGGAATATTAGTAGTGCCGGTGATAACGAAACTAGACATGAAGAATATAGTTCAAAAGAAATAAAATCAAGGAATATAAAGTGTCAGACAAAACATTGAAGATAGAAAAATAAAATGTGCCTGCTTTTTGAGACCGAGTTTGAGCCATGTCATCTAAGGTTTCCTCCAACCATTGATCACAATTATCGCGTGTACTCCGACTAGGTAGTTTAAACTTACTAACACGATTTAGACGAACATTCACTGACTTCATGGAATGGTATTGTCTTTGTCTCTTCCCCTCCCGCAGCTTTCTTCTAATCTACTTAAACACCAGACAGCATCGAAGTTGACAGATGATGATTCAGCATACGAAACATTTGTCCCAGGCACCTCAGTCCAAATAAGCTACACTTCACACATCAGAACGACAGGAAATTAAAGAATTTAATTGGTGATCAAAACATTATTATTATTATTCATTTTTGCATTGGTTGTTTGGATCTTCTCATTGATGTTTAGGACGAGACGCACATCCTGGATTCCTCTGCTAGCCACCATCAACTCCCCTTATCATTATTATAATAAGCGAATGAAAATAAAATATATGAATTAAGATAGTGAATTGAATAACCCTATATAGAACAAAGTGAAAAGAAGTAAGGAGACCAATTTCCAGTGTCTTTTTACTTTCACTCGCAAGTGAAAGTCAGTTGTCGACAGTTTGGTAAACTTATCAAAACAATTGAATCAAGTTCTTAGAGTATGTATTGTCTCCAATTCTGAGGGAATGAATTACCACCTATTTTTTGTTTTCAACAGTATCTCAGAAAAGAACTTTATGTAAACGAATTTTGCTAAGGATATTAGGAAAACTGCTAGGTAGTGGCACAACTGTGCTTATGGAAAAACTTAATAAAATATAACAAAAATCTCATCAACATCTGAAAATACATTTCAGACACATTAGTGAGACTATCAAGCGCATCCTAATTACACGAATTAGTCGATTTCAGGCCTATATAGTTACGTTGATGCTCAGTATGTAATTAAGTCTATATGTCTCCCAATGTTTATCATTCACTTCATGAGCCTCTTGATTTAAAAAACAAGTCACCATAATGCATGCCAATAGTCTAGCATCAGATACACAGTAACCAATGGCACATACTACTTCATTTTCTGTAAATAATAACACCTTAAGTCGAAAATCGAGTGGTCCCACAAACAAAGGTAATTGAATATCATTGACCCTACTTATAGCTGCGGTCGTACTCGGATAAATAACTATATTCAAAACAACACATATCAAATCTACTGACATAGTATTACTTAGCGACTTTTTTTAGCAAAGTTCTTTTCTACAGGACGGTGTTGCTTAGCCCATGCTCATTTCCCCCCTTTATCCGGACTTGGGATCGGCTGTAGCTCTAGAGCTGTCCCAGGCAGAGTTCCTAACACAGTATACATTAATCGGATATCTGTCATGTTTTATAGTATACAAACTAAGAATTTCACTAGTAACTAAACCTGCTTGTCAAGGCAGAAACTAGAATCAATCCACAAGGTTGCAAAAATTACCTTGTTCACCTTAAAATTTCACTTTAATCTACTACACCTACTACGTAATAGGAACATATAACTTGATTTTTCCTCCATTTTCATTGTTACAACAAAAACAGAATGAATTTATCTCAACTAGAAAATCAAATCAGTCAAGAGTTAAATCAATTGCTCAATGAATTGGAAGGATATAATCAGCATAGAAGGTTACTACTGAAATCAGCCGGAAGTAGTGGCTCACAACCTCGTCCTAGAACAACTATTAATAATCCATCAGAGGTGGCAAGCGATGGTGTTGCTGTATAAAATAAATGAATTATACTACCGTCATATTATGTGCAAATATTTGAACATAAACACAATAAATATTATCTCATGTAAATTATCTAGTTTCATGAAGGTACAATCTCTTTTTATTTTCATGATAATCTTTTTTCTTAATATACAATATCCTATGCATAAATCTAGTCGTAATGCTGTATTTGTTTACCGATCGATTGATGACCGTCTAGAATAAATGCTTGGGACTATGGTAGGTAGCCTCCTATGGACATTTAAATCATACATCTTTTGTTTCCAGTGATTAAGAAGATATGTCTCTAGCGGGCAATAGTCTAACAATCACTGAACGGAGTTGACCATAAAAACCCACAGAGAGGGCTATCTAACGTACTTTACATTCAACGGACGGGAGATTTTACTGCTTTCCCTATATTTCCGTTTGATGACTTAAACCCATCCAGACGTTGTAGTGAATAATTCGGGTGCAACTTAGAACCTGGTACCAGTAGTAAAACAAAAGATCAGGCATCGAAGATACGATCAGAGAAAACATAAATTTGTGAAAAAAAAATTGTGAGGAATTCAGAAGCCTAGAGTTTGGAGAAAAATAGAGGATACATGGGACCCACGCCATTACAAATGATGTTGATCCGTATCACTCACAAGGACCCCAAACAGGTAGTCTAGGCATGTTAATGACTCAGTCCAATTGTCAATGATTTCATGGAATAATCCCAAGTTTCGGTCTGGCCACTCTTAGATTTCTTCCAACCTATTCTTACACTAGACAACACCTGTCGAGGTAAGCGGTGGCTAGACATACTTAGCACATGTCCCAACTACCTCAGTTGATGCATATCTACTATCTCATCTTTCGATTTGCCATCTTTACATGGTACCCTATTCCTCACTCGGTGGTCAGGAAATACATGAGCGATGCTTCGAAGGCATCTATTATCGAGTACTAGGAATGTGAACATTCTTTATCAGTAGCAAATTTTAAAAAAACAATCTTGTTTTTGCGAAAGATTGCTCTATGTTGGCTGTATATACTGTCACAATTAAATGGGCTAGATAGAGCTGTTAACCGTTTTAACGACACCTTTGCTTAACCACAATAGGTGCTCACGAGCCCGAATATACAAGTTGCTAGAACATCTGCCAATATAACTTGCTCCACAGGAGCAGTTGAATTGATAGATACAGAAAGTAAGTGGTTGGTCTAGGCAATTTATCTCTCTACCTCGGAGTGATCATTGGACGTGTGGAAAACATTAATTGTAGTTTTACTTGCATTAAAAGTTCTGTGGGTTGATCTGGATACTTTCAGTCTTAGCATTTCACCAGGTGCATCATTTCTGAATTGTAAGTGTATATACAAAGGCTTTTTATTCACTGTTAAGCATTGTTTATGCTCTCTTTTATTAGCTATGTTTTTATTTATAAATTTCTCCGGCTACCTGTTTTCTTTCAGGGTCGTGTACAATGCGTTTGTTTCATCTTCGACCGCATCTAGAGAGCATATGGTCTTGATTCTATGATGCAGTGTCTTAATAAGGTTCCTTTTGTATTGCAGTAGAACAAAACTAAGAAAGTTTGTGTATTGGCCTGTCCAAGTAGTTTTCCTGTTTTTTTTCTTCATAACGACCAGCCTTTTCTTCTTGTAAGCAAAACATCTAGAAAGGCTATTCCACCTCCATTTTCTTACTCACATGTGAATTTTATGGACAGATGAACTGTACTGAATCGCTCAAGTGTTTCTACCAAATCAATATGGTCGTTACAAAGGATAAACGTATCGTCCATATATCTGTAGTAAAGTGGAAATCCATCAATCTGTTGTGCCATTGGACCGTTTTCTAATTTATAGAGAAAATTCTCAGCCAATATGAGACTTAGGGGTGAACCCATCGTGACACCATCTATTTTTCCATAGATTTCATCAGTGAATTTGAAATGTACATTCATTGTGCATTTTAGTAGTAATTCTTTGATCTCCACTGGGATTGTAGTTGCTATATCTTATTCTCCAAGTTGTTCACAAATATATTCTACAGTCTCTCTTAGTGGGACATTTGTGAACAATGACGTTACGTTAAAGGACATCATCGTTTAACCTTTCATGTTTTTGTATTTTTAATCTTGGAATTTATAAGGAACGGTATTGAATCATGTTATCCCAAACTGTTCTATAAGTCATTACGCCGAAATCACGTTCATCCAAATAGAAAAACATTAAAACGCTATGCACTTAATAAAACTGATACATTAAGTAATGACTTGACGGATATAGAAGTAAATATTGCTCTCAGGAAATTCGCAGTTGATGAATAAACAGAAGACATTAAGTCCCAGTTTATGGATTACGTCACAGAGATAACTATGGAAAGATCAGACAAGAAACATATACTTCTCAAAATCCTAGAAAATCAAACGGTTGAAAACAAATTTCCAAAGGAACTAGAGGTATGTGCATAATTTTTCCGGTACTGAATTAAATAAAGAAAAACTAGGTCTAAAATTATGTGATACACGAAACCTCGTAAATCATATAGATACGGACATTCAATCCGACAACCTAAATCGTCAGATATCAGATCTAATCCCGACTTCTGATCAGGAACGTTTCCAATCAAACCTAGTTGACTGCTGCTATCAGTTTAGAAATAGTAGGTATAACTACAGTATTTTAACTAAAAAAACACAAGGAGGCTATCAATGAGCTCATTAATGACGATAGTCTGATTATCACATAACCTGATGAAGGAACAGGAACTGTCCAACTTAACAAAAAAGACTACATTGACAACATGAGTAACATCTTGAGATCTATAAATAAAAACAGCCAATAAAAGAGAGCATAAACAATGCTTAACAGTGAATAAAAAGCCTTTGTATATACACTTACAATTCAGAAATGATGCACCTGGTGAAATGCTAAGACTGAAAGTATCCAGATCAACCCACAGAACTTTTAATGCAAGTAAAACTACAATTAATGTTTTCCACACGTCCAATGATCACTCCGAGGTAGAGAGATAAATTGCCTAGACCAACCACTTACTTTCTGTATCTATCAATTCAACTGCTCCTGTGGAGCAAGTTATATTGGCAGATGTTCTAGCAACTTGTATATTCGGGCTCGTGAGCACCTATTGTGGTTAAGCAAAGGTGTCGTTAAAACGGTTAACAGCTCTATTTAGCCCATTTAATCTTATTTTTCGTTATTGTCCAATAACAATTAAAGTTTCCAATTTTTTCGAAATTTCCGATAAGCAACACATCTTCATTACATATAACTATGAAAATAAATATACACATTATTTTATCAAAGATGACAAACGTGTACACTTCCTCGTTCTCTGAAAGGACGCACAAGGTAAATCAAGCTAATTTAACCACAAACTGTCCTACAATAAATGTACTGATGACTGTTTGTGATTAATAGCTGATTAGTAATATCAGAGCCTTAGAGCGCGATTCAGAGAATAAGGATTTCACGTTGTTTACACCATGAAGTTATAATAACAATGATAATAATGAAAAACAAAATGCTGGAGCAAATCATACCGGGAACTAGTTTAGCAGTCATATACAGTATTCCCGGTGGAAAAAAATCAAATTAGCAAACTGCTTGTTTATTCACGGCAACATTAACACGAAAGAGAATGTCCTGATTAGTTCCGTGTCTACCAAATGAGCAAGAAGAAAACTAACTTGCAGTGTAACAAAATCTAAGTTGGATATTCTCTAAAAGTCACAGATGACCTGACACGGATATTTATAGATATGAATCGTTGAAATCTACACAGAATAAAAGGCATGCGAAAGTAAATGAACTATTTAACCCATTAATAATCAGCTAACTATTCTTACGTAACCGAATCTCGTTGGCTCATACTCCTAAACGAAAGAAAAATGCCTCCCCCCGATGATTCCTAAATGCCTATACTCGACAACCGTGAGGGGGCTAGTTAATTCTCACTACATCTCCAGATGAAACTACGCCAGGGTATTAGCATCGCTGCTATTTCTTTTAGTTATTTTTGGTCTGCCTATTTGACTGCGTAATCGCAATTTCAAAAGGGTACATAAAAATGCTAACACTATCATACGCCCTCATAAACACCTACCAGTAAGTTTACCATCCTGGTCTCCTTAAAATAAACGAACAGTATCATCTGGAATGTTGGCTGCCACAGTCGAGCAATTCATCGCTATCACATTAAGTATAATTGGCATACGATCTTATTCTATAGCTATCAAACTGCAGAGTCGCATCAAGAAAATACTTAACTTTATAGCTTTTCCAACCATGTATGTATAAAAGGATCTCAAGAATAACTGTTCTGGTTCTACCTATCTAATATGTTAGGTTATAAAGTTTTTTGCTGCTAGGCTATGTATTATATAGTAAGCAAGTGCATATTGTATTCATTTAATACTACAACTGGTTTGCACTTGACACTGCAACTTGTCTATTTAGGTTTATCGCACATACTTGAACATATATAGAATAGGTAAAAACAGTAGGTCGAACACTTCATTATTGGTTACGTATCCAGCTACAGACAAGTCAATGATCTTCCGATTTAGTATATTAAACTAATATTCCAGACGTTAACTGAGATCGGTATCATTACCAAGTTTTGACTTGATAATTTCGAATAAATTGAGCATTGGATAGATTGTTATAAATCAATTAATTAATATATTTGTAATATCCCTATGGCTACGAAAATTAATTTTTGTGACGTTTCGTGACTCAGTGTGAGCCACTTCTTCAGAGAATAAATAACAGATATATTAATTTGTTAACTTAGATATTTTATCTGACTACTGGGTAGTACCGATTGGTTTAAAGATAAGCAAAATTAGAACTTGTTCAAAACTGCGTGAGAAGTGAGCAAATCTACTATTTCTGCAAAATAGGTCTCACCAGTTAGACAAATAGCTGCTTAAATAGGTCCCCGGCAATACCTCTGAATGTGACACTGATATGAATCCGAACCAATCAGATAATGTTAGCTCATCCACAATCGAAGACTCCAGGCACGCATTAGTGATCACTATCAGTTACACAGAGCGTAAATCCGGAGTTATCTGCAAATCTCCTCTAACTACATTACACTCATTAAAGTGTATTGGTTAGAATTATGAAATGAACTACATTCTAGTAA